GAAGGAGGATCGGCCGGCGAAGCCGGCCGATCCGACTGGCCCTCCCCGCATGGAAAACTGCTCGCAGGGACCCACTTCACACGCGGAAGGAGGATCGGCCGGCGAAGCCGGCCGATCCGACTGGCCCTCCCTCATGGAAAACTTGCTCACAGGGACCCACTTCACACGCGGAAGGAGGATCGGCCGGCGAAGCCGGCCGATCCGACTGGCCCTCCCCTCATGGAAAACTTCTCACAGGGACCCACTTCACACGCGGAAGGAGGATCGGCCGGCGAAGCCGGCCGATCCGACTGGCCCTCCCCGCATGGAAAACTGCTCGCAGGGACCCACTTCACACGCGGAAGGAGGATCGGCCGGCGAAGCCGGCCGATCCGACTGGCCCTCCCCGCATGGAAAACTGCTCGCAGGGACCCACTTCACCACGCGGAAGGAGGATCGGCCGGCGAAGCCGGCCGATCCGACTGGCCCTCCCCCCGCATGGAAAACTGCTCGCAGGGACCCACTTCACACGCGGAAGGAGGATCGGCCGGCGAAGCCGGCCGATCCGACTGGCTTTATCTAAATATGATTAAATTGAAACCGTTCGTAAAGCCGTCTTGATTCCGTCTCTACTTCATTCTTGGAAAATAGACATAAAGCAAGTATGTGGAATCCTATAGCTTGAGTACTGCTGCTAGGTATGGAGTCCACAATTACGTAAATGTCAAATGAAAATCGAAAGAGTGCAACAAACTTCTACAAGGTTTCTCATTAAATGTGGATCGGACTCCTTTCATCCCGTTGGGCTATTCCTAACTATAACGAGAAGCAAAGGCTTTTCGGAATGAGAACTCTTCTTACCGGAGAATTCACCATGACCTTGTTTTCTGTTTCCGAATATTGCGCATGGAAAACAAGCTAAAGCCAAGCAAGTACTGGGTTTTCAGGCCTAGTAGTGAGCGATCAAATAATTTTATCTTAGATCATCGTTCGATAAAAAGACCGCACTTGGTCCAAAATCTTTAGAACTTTTTTTTGCCGAACTGCAAGATGGTTACAAATGGTGCAGAAGATATAGTGAGTTCCCCGAAATCGTCAATTTTGTCACTGTCACTACTGACATTGAAGATTTTGAGTTCATGACTTCTGCTTTTTCCACGAAATCAATCTCAACTTCACTAACAAGGGAGGTGTTTCAGGTCATGACGCGCTTTTTGGAAAATGGTTTATTGCTTGTTGTAGGGGTCCATACAAGGGTCACAAAAATGGGTTTCATTTTTGCTATGCGTTTCTGGGTAGGTCAAAACTCAGTGAAAAGAATTTGACAAGAATGGGCGGATTTAACAACCTTAATGCTGGCCTCCTATCTGCTTGTGACTTCGAGCATGCATTATGAGGTGGTCACTAATTAGGCCTCAAAATAGATTCTCCCTTCATGACCATTGCTTGCGGATCAGATGGCGTAGCGGATAGCACGATGGGTTCTGTATGGCACGACAATGCGGGACTCGGTTCGGATCCTCATTGCGGCAGCAGTTTTGCATCTGTATCAACGCAACGAGACGTGAACATTTCCGGAAACAAGGTTCTCCACACAACTGTGCTGGTTTGTAAGGTGTCATCCAGGAAAGGCCAATAGGACAGCCTGGCCATTTGCAGTGAGTGCATATCATTGTACTCGTCTTGACACAATGAACTCGAAACTACCTTTAAAATTTGCGGAACGATTCTCTGAGCGGAGTTATATAGGTTTTCCTTCGCTGTTTTTCTTCTTGCGGGTGGGCTGGCGCAGTGAAATTTGCATCTGTAGCGCGACTCACAGCTCTCTCCGTGCGAAATAGATATCATATTCGTGTTCAGGGGGTCAAACAACCTCTAGAAAAGAAACCTTGAGGAAATCCGAGGTTCTGACTCAACTTCGAAAAAATAAAGGCGGTTAGTGGTCGCGCCCCTGGATGACAGCAATCCGACTAGCATACTGGTGATGACTGGTCTTTGCACTGAAATAACCCTTCAGTCATGTCTTTTCGCAAAGAACAATACCTGGCTCACTTGTATGAGCCGCCTGCATCATTTTCCTGATTACCGGTAGAAAATACCATCCCAAGACCAGTCATCCATGGTGGGTGGACCCCGCCTGCTGCCAAATGTCCATAGAATGGCCCACATTTTCCAAGTAAGGTCGAAACGTCAGACTTGGCTAGAAATTAGTCCCCAGGGGTAATCCAACAACCCGCTGAACATAAATGTGATGGTATTTCATTGCAATAACCCTTCTGACATGAACTACGAGGGGCAGCACAAGCACGCTTTCTGGCCACAATGTGGCCACAAGTATATGCCTTCAAATGGCATATACTTGACTTATTTCTACTGCCAGACACACAGGCACGCGAATGAATGGAAAGCTGAAAAATGCAAACATTTTCCGCGAGAAGGATCCCGATCCACAACAGCTTGTCCCTTGCCCCGCACTGCATACCAGAACCGTCGTGCTCTCACTTGGTGATACAGTTTGCAGTGGTGTGTGAAGGGCTTTGCCAACAAAACATCACTCTTGCGTCGTGCATGTCAGGCGCCCGCCTGTGTTACCACATGATACTTACATTTTGACTTCAATCGAACCTATGTTGAGGCCTACTCGGTGACCACTTCATAAACTATGCATGCTCGAAGTTACAAGCAGAAAGGAAGCCAATTAAGGTTGTTAAAACGCCATTCTTAGTCAAATTACTTCTTCACTTCAGTTTTTGACCTACCAGAAACGCATAGCAAAAATGAAACCCATTTTTGTGACCCTGTATGGACCCCTACAACAAGCAACAAACCTATTTCCAAAAAGCGCGTCATGACCTGAAACACCTCCCTTGTACGCTTCAATGTAGAAAAGTCGCTGATCCGGATTAGATCGCTTATAGGCATCTCCACTACCTTTCAAAACTACTGTTGTCATTTAATTTGAATTCATAATTAACTGCATTTCTCTGCTTCGCTGATTCCCGGTCTAAGCCCTCGCCCACCTTTTCTGAAGTCATCCTTGTATATCAAAATGTAAGTATAGAGCAGTAAATTACATTGGCCTCAACTTAAGCCGTGATCAGCAATACTCACAAGGAATCAGAAGATGTGTCAACTTATTCTTAATATTACGTTTAAAAACTCATTTTGGCTGTTGAAGGCCAACAGGTGCCGGTTCATTTATCCAACTGGTCACTTGGGCCTGGAGTCTTACGCCTGGGGTTCGTATTTAGATCAAAGAGGCATCTACTTTGGCCCGCCCCGGAATAACCACGGTTAGTTGCGTTGCCCAGGCTGACCTTTCCATCAAATGCTGTTACCTCTCAAATAACTACAAACAAACCCATCAGTATTGTTTTTTTATTGTGTTGACTACTATCAAAAAATTCTCATTTGTATAAGTAGTTAACTTGATTGTGGCAACACCCTTCCCTGCTATATCTTCTTGACTTCAGAGTAATGTGGGCACGTGGTTTAAAGTTATATTGACGAGCAGTTTTTCCGCTTTTGCTGATGTGTATTGGGGTTGTTTCTTTTTTAAAGGAGCACCTTGAGTGCACATTAAATAAAATAAATAAATAATATAAATAAATAAACAATAACGCTGGCCGGTAACCACAACGCGCGGCCAATAAATTGATATGTGAGGGTCCAGCCGCGAACATGCTGCCAAGTTACCGTAGGAGTACACAGGTTAAGTACGAGACACAACGGCGCGCCAAAAACTAAACCAGAGAAGAGGCCTACGCGTAGCGCACTTCTTAGCCGGGGCTAGGCGTATGGCCGGTGGTACAGCGCGTTGCGCGCATGTGGCGTGATGTGCGCACGGAATTACAAAGAACCATTCGGTAATCGCTATAATCCAGCTTTATCCCCTGCTTTTCTGGGCAGCGAAGTGCGGGCGGCGTGAAGACCTCGCAGAAGCAAGCCTGTGTCAACAGAGAGATATAAACCTGGCACCGATCTCTGTAATTAATAGCACAGTTAATAAAGAGAAATGTTAGGAATGACTTACTTTCAATTACTACAGCTGACGTCTCTACACTAACACCACGCCCTTGTTGTCGTTCATAGGCCTCCAACCGTTGCCATGCCTAAATATGAGTAGTGAGATCGTCCATATGATGATTCACTGAAAGTCCTATCTTAAAGTGGGTGCGAACGCGAAAGTCTTGCACTATCAAAAATAAACTCATGAACAATCGCGTTTATATAAGTGAAAGTATGCCATAAGCCATAATTATGACTGCAAGTTGCTATTTATGCGTCCTGCATTCCATGAGCAACGATTAACTTCTTCCCAAACTCGAGGTTCAGAGTCGAAGAAGCTAGATATCTATGTCCCGGGACCGTCATGAGGATAAATAGATAGTCTCGCAAATACTATTTTGGCGCTTGCAGTAGCATGTAGCTAACGGGGCGGATTAAGTCCGACAGCGCCACAGTGTGTCCCGGCCAAAGCTAATAAATTTTTTGCCGAGTCTTCGCTATAGTGAAGAAAAAAATTCTGAAAAGATAATAGGTATCTTGCAGTTTTGAGCAGTTCGGGAGGACTGGTTCACCCTTTGTAGGTGGTTGGAACGCTCTATAGCTTTCACAGTAGCTCCTGTTTTCACGGAAACCACGGTGGAACATTCCAACGCAGCAATCAGACTTCGCGTCGACGCGCCATCTCTGCAAAGGCGCCCCATTGCTATAGACGCGAATGGACCGGCGCTGGGCGCTTGTGTTTTAGAGAGTATGGAGGGAGGTGCGGAATCACATCTATAAGCATTGGACCGCTGTTGCAATTGTAGGTTAGGTCATCGTAAAGTCTTAATGCTGCGTAACGCTTCGAAATACCTGTAGGTGAAAGTGGAGGTTATGCTCAATAAACTACATAATTGCTGTTCGAGAAAAATGAAGGACCACAGGAATGCAACTAACCTTCTTATTACACAGTCCCTGCAACCGTCGACTAATTTTTTCCCGCATAAAATACATGGAATGATCGAACCATGGGTACCATTCTTTCCAACGCACACCTTGCCTCAACATCTAAAGTTCCGGACATTCACGAAAACATTTAAGTTATTCAAAACAGAGAATGTAAAAAAAACTCAATATTGAGACACGAACTTTTCCCACAGGCGGCTTTGTGAGGAAAACCTCCGCAAACTGTAGCAAATAAAGACCGCAATCTACGTAGTTTTCCTGATGTGGAACTCCGTGAGGATACAGTGCACCTATACGTGTTCTGTCTAAGTAAACTTCTTCATGGGGACCACGTTTATCGGCCAATTCGCACTCCAGGTAATCTCTCAGTATATCCAGGACACACTTTCTGAAAATTATGAGTGAGCGTTTTCCGAGGACTCGATTGGTAAATAAGAATGCTCGTAATAAAATAATACATTTAGTTCATGGCAAGAAATAACTGGGCAGTCCAAATCACCCATAACTGAGACGCCCCCAAATTTTTGATTTCTCTGAGCAGAGTTTGAGAACATATCATCAAACTAACCTTTTCACATCGTTTGGATCCGGTAAGGAGTCCAGCACCACAATAAAAGTGTCAGGATCCAACCTGGAGGAACCGCGCTTTCGAGCTTGTTCAACATCTTCACTTCGCTGCGATACGACAGCCAACGCTGGTTTCACTATGATTACCAGATACCTAGATTATCAAAGGAAAATACCATGATGGCCTCACAATTTCAAAAATGGCTAAGGAACAAATGTACTCATAAAGACCAGATTCGGTCAATAACACAAAAAAGTGATCGAATACAAACAAACCAATGCATCTCATCATTGATTGGTAAAACTATGTAGTCCATTTTGAATATGTCCACTTTCTTTGTCCACGACTTCACTTTGGAGAAATTCCTTTTGATCTGAAATTTCGAGATGATGTGTTTAGAAAACTAGCCTGAACCACAAGTTATCTCTAAGAACTGGGCCCAACCGAGAATTGCCTCAGCTTTGTTTTCCTTACAAATCCTTTCCATGAATTCACAATGTTAAAGGATTCTAGAAAAGCAGACATTCTAGGTGATGTTTGGGTACAACAAGTAGGAGAGCGAGTGGACTAGTTCAGACTGTACTCAGTGAAATGGAAAGCGCAAGGCGGAACTGGGTTTGGAGGGGGCACCAAATAGTACACCAAGTCGAACTTGCACAGGTCACTTCTTGTCTCACAGGGATCTGGTTTTACATAATTTGCCAAAGGAACTACGAAACTGCAAAATGCAACTCCCCCCTCCCCCCCAAGTGGAATTACCCATTTCTTCCTGGTCTTGACCTTGTTACCAGGTGAAATCCAACATAGTCAATGCAGTGAAGTGGTGAGCTCTCTCACCAACAGGAAACGTCATGGCGCGAGGGGAAATTCCCCACAAAACCCTCTTCGGGATCCGTCGAGCCGGCAAGGGGAGCGGCTACGAAAGAAACGCGTTCAGTCGTTCAGCTAACTACCAGAAGCTGCAAAATTGCCGTCTCCCCGTTACAGGTCTTGGCATTTAAATAGCGCCTAAGAAACAGGAAAATATTGGAACAGTAAAAAAACGATTTCAACCAAGACACGGCCCTTCTCACTTTCACGATACCATACAGTGGCGTGCTCCACTGCAGCTCTTGATGCGATGATTCTCCCGCAAATTCACATAGAAGAAAAGGGAAGCAAGAACAACTTTCTTTTCTTCTGCATTTTCTAGGGAACAGATATGGCAATTCAGTACTTGCAGGCCCTTGTAGGCTGACCGTAACCGGTTTTAACAGTTTTTGTCTTTTTGCTAATAATACGTTTAAACAGACTAAAGGTGTCCCACAAGGTGGCAATTTCAGTCCACTATTGGCAGATCTTACGCTTTCTGTAATGGAGTATTACTATGCTAAATCCAAAAAGTTTAGTAGCAGTAAGCTATTCATTCCATATAGATATATGGATGATTTGCTTGTTGTACATAACCAAACTGATGGTGATGTGGATGAACAACTTTCTCAAGTTTATCAAAATACCCTTCAATTGAAAAAACTCATAATAGTGAAGTTTCCAGCAATTATTTAGATTTAACAATCAATATTACTAACGGTAAAATTAGTACTAAGTTGTATAATAAAACGGATGATTTTAGCTTCAATGTAATCAGATTTCCGTATAGTGACACAAACATTTCCCTTATTAACAAAGCCTCTGTTATATATACGGAAACGTTGAGGTTAGCAAACACTTGTTCTTTCTTCAATGTATTCGTAAGCAAAATAACGGATATGGTCACGACTCTTTCGAAAAATGGCTACGAAGAAGATTTTATTATTACTAGCATTGTGAAATGTATTTACAAAAATAAATTTATAAGTTACAAATACTCTATTGCAAATAACTATAGAAAGATAAGTAGACTGGTTAGAGGAATTCTCATTGGCAGCGGTGTTCGACCCTAGTTCTCGTTTTACCACTACAATCTTTGATTTAAGCTTTTGTTATCTGCTGCGACAGTGTCCTTTACGCATATTCCCTTAGCTCATTTAGCCCATCTACAACAAACCATTTTTCTTCCTCTTACAAGTAGTTGGTACTCACTCCTGTTATATCCTTCCTTCATTTTTCCTGTACAATTCCTTCTCATCTTTATTGCATGAATTTTGCATGTCAACTTTTTTACATTTTTTTTCGTTTTATCCTATTCCTTAACTCCTTCCCCTATGTAGTCCATGTCCATGTCGTCAACCCTGTCGCACTGAAGAGCCCGGGGGTTGGTAAGACATCGATGATTCGTCTGCGATAACGGGCGAAACGGATCATCTGTGCTTTGGAGTGTATTCCTTTCCCAATGTTTGTTTTTCTTTGCTTCTAATTGGACTTTATTGGTGTTGACTGCTCGGTTGTTCGTGGTAGAATGCTCAATCTATCTAGGCGTGCCTCTCAATACAGGAGAGGTCACGCATCGAGTATCTAATCGTTTCCCTATGGGTCATAATCACACGGCTTAATAATGCTTATGGCTACACCTATCAACACTTAGTAGTACAAGAGGTGCGCCGGCAGGTTCTGGTGGCAATCCAGAACAGGGCGGAGTGAGCTCACATCCGGTTCCTACCCAATTAGTGATCGAATCACTAAGAAAACAACCAGCGATGAAACTGCACGAGTGGGCACATCCCACGATGTTACTTATAAATACCACCAATCTCGCTATGCACTTGCGTACTCACTGCTGCTACCGCAATCCACGTCTAATGCATATTCACTCCGCATGCGCCAACTGTAATTAAGCAAAGGCGAAGAAAATGCCTGCGATTGTGCCGAAGGGGATAAGTGGAAATTCAATTTCGTATCATAAACTTATTTTTGATTGGTTTAATCATTGGTGCTTGTAGTTCACACCCTTTGCCAGTAGAGGATGCACTCCACAAGTCAAACCGAGACTCATATTGTTATAACGTGCTCAAATGTGGTACTTTCCTGATCAAAATGCTTAACGTGTGCAAACGTGAATTGAGGGGAGGCAAGGGAGGCTATAAGCCTAGAGCTAAAGCTTCGCGGAAACCGCAACGCGCGACGAAGGGACCGTACATTGCATGCAGGTGGAAGGGATGGGCATCGGAAGCACAGCATACTCAATGCGA